ACTGTTTGCAACTGATAATAAAAAAACCTTGAAAAAAAAATTGTCATAAATTCTTTATTTGATCGCTTTATCAAAAAAATGATATTTAAAACATTCTGAACTAAATTTTTCATTCGATTAAGACTTAATTTTATTGTTCTTATCAGCTTTTCAAAATCGTATTTCCTTTAATATTTTAGTTGATCAGTTGAAGCTACTTATAAATATATAAACAGTAGTATTATACATATAGTAATCACTAGATTTTTTTTTCCCTTGTTTAATTATTTACAGTAACAGATGGTCGAGTACGTGTGGAGGTACAAGAAATTGGAACTAAAAATGAAAAAGAATATTCTTGCACAGCGTATGGTAAGTGAAAACTGGATGAATTCATTTTTGCTCACTAGTTGTGAATTGTACTCATTCAACTATTCGTTGAGCATAGACTACTGGACTAACTGATAATCTGTCTGTTTTTGAAATGATTTTAGTATTGTTTGAATAGGTTGGAAATATTTACATGAATTATTTTTTTTCTGGTTAGGGTTTTACATCGAGTTAGTTTCCTACGGGATGCGGTCGCTAATCCCCCATGCCCAACACTCCTACTTTATCCGGGCTTAGGACAGGAAGTAGCCCCAAAGGGGCTTCAGGCAGAGTTAGATTAGATATATTGAAAAAGTTTTCTTTTCATAGGCTACACTCTTCTTTAATCATGGAAATCGGTCTAATATTTACTGGACAAATTTCGTATTACATAGTTATCCAACAGTCTGAACAACATCAGCACAAACTTCAAATAGAAGTGATACAGTTGCATTTCTCCACGTTTGATCTGTAGCTTGTTCTGCTAACCTCGATCTTGATTGGTTGCTGTTGACCTCAAACTTGTCGTTGTTTACATCTTTGTTCACAAAGGTGAGATGGTGGAGAAAATTTGTAGCTCCGGTGGATGATTGTGGTGGTGTTTCGTTCACTGAGCTGGATGCTGTTTTGGTTGTGGAGCTTTCATTATTCTTCTTCTGAACACAACATCATCGGTAGCACAAACTTCAGATAGCAGAAGTGAAACATTTGAATTTCTCCACATTTGACCCGAACCTTGTTCTATTGACCTAAATCTTCATTGGTTGTTGCTGACTTTAAACCTGTCGCTGTTTGCACCTTTGTTTTGATTGTATCCTCCTTTCGATCAGTTTGTTGATCCTATGTCACCTATGATTTTTCTGATTGGTTGATAAATTGGGTCCATGTCGTTGTGTTTTTGTTGATTGCTGATTGACCTGAGAGTGCCAAGCTTCTAAAAATTCTCTAGTGTTCTTTGTCCTCCCCCCTATCCAGTATTTTCACATTGTTCCAATCAAATGTGTGTCCATAACTATGAACATACGTGGAGAAATTCGAATGTTGATAATGTTGTTCATTAGAAGAACAATGATGAAAGCTCCACAATCAAAACAACCTCAGCTCAGCGAACGAAACACCACCACAATGGTTAGATTCCAGTCGTATGACTAGAGTTTGCTTTGAATTTTCCAGTGGTCACCTTCATCACCAATTGTAACACGTGTAACTAGTAGTCGCTGAAGGGCGGATAGGATCTAAAATCACAACACACAAGGTTAGTTTAACACCTTAAACCAAGAGAGAACACAAAGTGGTTGCCACGGCACTCTTTTATTTGAAAACTAAAATACGCGGGGTTTGTACAGAAAAAGGGTGGTTAGTTTACCAAAATCTTATGAGTCGTCATCCTGTGAGTTCAGAGCACCCAGGGCTTGTTCTTCAGCTTCCAAAGCATTTATGTTTGATCGCCCTGAAATAGAACGAAAACAGAACGGGTTAGTAACATCATACATGGTGATTTTGACTCCGCTACAAAACTATTCACAAAGCGCTAATTCAAACCAATGTTTTTTTGAAATTGAATTGTACATTTAAAAGTTTAAAAGTGTTTTTTTGCTAATTACCACTAAAATGACCTTCAATGTTTCATTGTTTCTACTCCTTCTTCTTCCTCTTCTCCTCACTTCTATTCACTTAAAAAAGATTCAAGAACTGGTCAACGTCTGTCGAATGTTACATATGATTGGAAATTCACTACACCAAACAATGAAATCATACCCACAGTGTATTATTTCAATTCAATTGAAAGCTATGAAAATAACTTGAAATTAGGCATGTTGAATACACATGTTCAATTACCGGAACATTTACAAAAAATTGAACGTATTGAAGGACGGTGTATTGTTTTAGCTAAAGAATATTTGACTACCGGTGAGGATGGCCGCGATGACGGTGATGCTGGACGGGTCAAGTTGAATGTTTATGAATCTAGACCATTTGTTATTATCAATCCATCTGCCATTGATCCTAATGAATTGTTAACTTCACCTGATCAATTTAGTAAAAGTTAGTCTGATTGTTATAATATATATATTGAAGTGTATCGATTTTTTATTGACTTACTTTTTCTAAGCATATATTTACTGAGTCAATGAGTGTTGGACTACTACTACTACTACTACTACTAGAAAGCTGGAAGCAATAGACGGCTGTTTCATCCTAGTACGGGACTTTTCAGCAGTGTGTATCTGTAAGCCCCACTGACGGGAATCGAACCCAAAAATTTAGGTCTTGGTTGCGAACGCTTCATCTCTAGACCAGTGAGCCGGCATCCAATGTTGTTAATGTCCGACTTTGACCAATCTAAGGATTTTGTGCAACCTAAACCATTGTCGTTGGTGATTGCTTTCTACACCCGCTAGGGTTAAACATCATCAGTCAGGGCTTTTGACTAGGACTTCGAGCATTTTCTCACGAAGTTAGTCACTAGTAATGTAGTGAAGGAGAACACAGGTGGGGTAACCGGACTGTATTTAACAAAAATTACAGAGTTACTCAGTAAAATCGAAAAACCATATCGTAAATCGTTCATTTGCAAAATATCAGTCCATCATATCGAACTGGACTGTTCCTGTTGCCAAACATCAATCCATTTTCACTATTCATGTGTTTCATACAAATTCCATTGTTTTCTAACTCTTCCTTTTTTGATCTTCCCCCATCTTCTGCTGCCAGACATTACGTTGACACTCACGTCATATACTACTTATAAGTAGCTCGCACCACAGTGTGAGCATATTTTATCATTTTTCATTATAGAAATATGGAGAATGATGTTTTACATTGTTAGACTACCATTAGAAATCTGGAAGCATGGGACGGTCATTTTGTCCTAGTATGGAACTCATCAGCAGTGCGCATCCACAAAACTTACACGCTGCAATCAATCTAAGGACCTTCAGTTTCACGCATGTGTGCTAAATCCCTATATCGTTAAGCCCCAAATCCGAAGGTAGAGTAGTATATTGAAGTAGTTGTTGATAATGTCGATTATTATTATCCGGAACGATAATTTCATGGTAATCAGCATAGAATCCATTCAGAGAAATTGTAATCAGCGCTTAGTGTACCTCTATAAGCATTAAAATGAAACGATCTAGCAATTTCTATTGTCAACAGGCTGAAACTAATCATTCATGTCAGCGACCGAAAAAGAAGTACAAACGACTTTGGTCAATAGTTGAATTTGAAATTCTTTCCAGCCTACGTCTACATCGGGCAACATTGTTTGTCAAGGCAGCTGGCGACTGGGCATAACCACTTCAACTGATGAAGTTTCAATGCTTCATCTATTGATCTGAGATCCTTAACTAGTTCTCGTTTCTTAACAAAAGCATTGCTTACTCAATGGTTCAAGACTACACAATCAATGATTCGAAGACACCTATGATAGAATACTAGTAACTTACGAATATCCTCTACACTAACTGGCTATGTTTTACAGCTATAGAATAGGATGGAGCGAACTTCTGCACAGTAGACTAGCCCCTTGCATAGCAGACAGATATCTCAACTGGCAAAAGCCAGTCGAGCCAACTACATCCGTGCTAAGATTTTGCCACACACCAGACTATCAGCACTAACGAGACTCCCGAGATAGGTGAATCAGTCAACACAGTCAACTACTTCACTCTTTATCACTAGTTCAAGTGCCGACACAAACTAATCTTGAAGAAACATTTTGCATTTCAAGTCAGAGAATCTGTTACGCTCATCTCTAGGTATGCTTAAACTATTACGAGTTCACCTTAGTCGAATAACGAGAACAAAACAATGAACCAGCCTATAGGTAGGCTACTGTGATCCCTTGACCTAATTGTACCAGCAAGAAGTATTGATATAGTTTAGAAATTGTATTCTACAAACACCCAGCCAGTAAACAATGAATCCAAACACTCAATCTGCGTTTATTTATACTCTATAGAGACGTCCTTGGGCCAGTCACAAAAATAGCACACTAAAACGACACAGTAACCGATCACAGCCAAGAATTTTTCTGGTGGGAAATGTGATCTCAAGGTCAACTGATCTCTTTAAATTATCAATATATTCATAAAATAAAATGTAAATAACTGATCATTACTTAAAAAAACGTTTAGATGTTTATTTAAAAGAATTTTTAAACAATATTTTGTTTTATCGTTTTTTTCTTCATTCGAAACAGGTCATCGGTTATATGTTACTGTGGATGGAGTGAAAAATGGTGCAGTTGTTAGTCCAGTCGGATCAACAGTTACTTTAACTTGTCAAGTTTATGGTATGTCACTGGTGATGTTAAGAATTAAGTTATTTTCAATCAAATTAATTTATTTTATTCATACTTTAGGATCATTATTAAAAATATCGAAGTACTGAACGGCTGTATCGTTCAGAGTATGACACTCCTCTAGTGGCAGTGCGTATCCACGATGCCTTCAAGCAAGAGTCCAGTCCAGGAACTTCGATGTCACATACGAATGCTAAACCTCTAGACTACTGAGTCGATATACGATGATATTAAATTCCTTGATTTTACCCAACCTTCATTCATCATCATAACTTTCAACTTATTAATAGTATTAAAATCACGAATGAATCATCGTCAGACCATCATTAAGAACCTGGAAGCTCCTGGCATGGGACTCATCAGTGGCAGTGAGCATCCACAACTACTACCACCCACAGGATTGGAACTCAGGATCTCATATCTCGCGCACGAACGCTTAACCTCTGAACCGCTGAGCTGGAGGCATCCAACGGTGTTACTGCCTACCATCGATCAGTCTAAGGATTTTGCTCGACCTCACCCAGACAGACAGACAGATACAACGTAGAAATTCGTACGTATGAACATCAGTTCAGGTTGCCATACTACATCAGCACAGAGACGTAACTGTCAGTTCAAATCCAGGAGTGATAGAGATAGCAGAATTATTAGCAACAATGAAAAAGCTTAGGTAGTGAAGAAATGATTCGAAAAGTATAATTCAGTGAGATATATTTGTAAAGAGAAACACAGAGATTATGAGGAATACAGAAGCTTAGAATTTCATAGAACACAATGAGTGAATTCATCTGCGTCACTGCAAACGATTTTGAGCCTACATCTACCAACATGACTCAGTCCACTTGTCAGTGACTACATGTATTTCTGCCATGTTTTGGTTTGGCTGCCCCTAGCTTTCTTCCAACCTACTCCTACACCACAAAACATTGCTCGTCGAGGCAGTCGGTGGTTAGGCATACGTAACACATGTCCCAACCACTTCAACTGATGAAGTTTCACTACTTCATCTATTGATTTGCCATCCTTACCTAGAACTCGTTTCCTAACGATAGCATTGCTTACTCGGTCGTCCCATGATACACGAGCAATGCTTCGGAGACACTTATGATTAAATACTAGTAACGGCCATGTTTCGCATTCGTATAATAGGATAGAGTCAACTTCTGCTCAGTAGACTCGTCCTTTAGTCAGCAAACGGATATCTAGCCTATGCCATGAGTGATGCAGGTTGGCAAAAGTCAATCTAACTTTCTGTATCCGAGCTGAGATTTCGTCATTCACCAGGCCATCAGCCGACCTCACCGATTGTCTTCGTTAGTTCCTGCCTACACTGGACAAGGTTGCACTCCATTAGTCATGTCTTCTCACTAAAACTCCAAACATTTCCTCAATCTAGTGATATCATCACAAACGAAATCTAATTATTGTCATATATTTACTATTCTTTTATTTTTTTCAAAAATTTAGATTCTATCAATCATATACAAGTTGAAAATTTAAATTATAATTGGGAAATAAAACGTCGTGATGGTACACCAATTGATACAGCTGTCTTAGCGAAAGATTATGTGAATGTCAAAGGTCCCGGTGGGAATACATTGATTATTGGCAATCTACGTGATTTATCCAATGGACTGATAGGTCGATGTATTGTATCTAATGAGAGTAGTTCACTGGATCCAACTAGATCTGATCTGGATGCCATTGGCGTTGGTTTATTAGGACCAAACGAGAAATTATATTCCGCTGCATTTGATTTTATTACAACTGGTGATAAAACACCTTTGGATGATGTTGTTTACAAGGGGAATAAAGATTATGAAATTGGTAAGTTTATTAAGTTTTTGTAGTGAAACAAACAGCTTAAAATGTTGAATAATTTTCTTTTTCTGCTGAAAAAGTTTTATTCATTGTTAAAAATTAACTTGGTAGTTTGTAGTATAAGTGTGTGCTTCTTAATTATATAACATGGAAATCAGCTTTCTACTAAGATATTATTACTTCCGTACTTACTTACTAACTTAACGCCTGTTACTCCCAATCGAGCATAGGCTGACTACCAGCATTCGCCAACCTATTCTGTCCTGGGCTTCCCTTTTTAGTTCTGTCCAAATGTTGTTTCTTCTACTCATGTCTGTGTTATGCTTGTCAATTGATATTCTTGAATGCTATTACGAGTTCACCTTAGTCGGTAAACGAGAGTGAAGACAAATGATCCAGTGACACGATAGGCTACTCTAATCCGAGCGTCCCAAGGCCCCACTAAGTAGAGGAAGAAGTCTTGACAAGACGTAGAAAGTGTATTCTACAAGCACCCAGGAAATTTGAGGTCCACAAGCACACAAATCAAGCTTATTTGTATTTGACAGAAACGTCCTTGGGAGAGACACAAAAATAGAGTAATAAAATAATTGATCAACCAATGGCAGTCAAGGATTTCCATGGTAGGAAATGTAATCTCAAGGTCAACTGATCAGCCCATGTGCGAAAGCATAAAATCCAAAATGAGGACCTTTATCAAGTGATGATCTGATGATTTAACGTCCCTAACGATTTGTTTCCATTTCTCGGTGTAATGTATTCCTCGGTCTTCCTCTTTTTCTTTGGCCTTGAGGAATCCAAGTGCGGACTTATCTAGTTATGCAGTTGGGTGCTTCCCTCAATGCGTGTCCTATACACCTCCTCAAATTTCTCCTGATTTATTCCTCAAGTAGAATTTGGTTTGTCCTCTCGCTTAGTAGGTTGTTACTGATTATGTCTGGCGAACGGATCATCAGTATCTTGCATAGAAGATTGTTAATAAACACTTGTACCTTTCGGATGATGGCATTTCTGTTTCGCCAAGTTTCCGCTCCATGTTATAGTAATAATGCCTTGATATTTATATTGAAAATTGTGATTTCGGCATTGGTTGATAGTTGGTTTTAGTTCCAGGTGTTAATCAGTTGGAGGGATGCTGCCCTTACTTCGTCAAGATCTCCTGTGAGTTTTCCACCAAATATAATTTGGTTGGTGTATGTTGTGTGGTGTCGCAGGATCTTGCTTATTGTTGATAACTACTAATGCTGAGGCTGCCAATACACTGGCCATCTTCGCCCGCATTTGTGGTTGCGTGTGTAATGAAGGAGAACACAGGTGAGGGCAACCGAATTGAATTTAACGAAAATTACAGAGTTACTCAGTAAAATTTGAAAACCATATCGTAAATCGTTAATTTGCAAATCTTCAATTCATCATCAATCCATTGTTTGACATTTCACTATTCATGCGTTTCATACAAATTCCATTGTATTCCCACTCTTCCTTTCTTGATCTTCTCCCATCTTCTGCTGCCAGACATTACGTTTATACACGTGTCATATACTACTTATAAGTAGCGCGCACCACAGCGTGTACGATAGGAGAGTTAGATCATCTGCAAAGTAGCAATTATCTATTACTATTGAAATAATATTGTTCCTATTGTGTAATCAAATAAAATTTCTCATCGATTTCTCTCTTTTTCGTGTGTAAATTTTAGATGGAAAAGATTATGAAGTTGTAATCGAAGGTTTAGATGATGATGGCCGATTGAAAATTGCAAAGAATGATAATAAAACACTAACTGTTTATTTGAAACGTAAGTGATTAAAAATATCATGTTTGCATAATCTCTGTAATCTTTTAGTTTTCAATTAGAGTTATGAAGATTAGGGTTTGTTGCACATTGAAATCATTTATCAATCATCGTTAGACCATCAGTAGAAACCTGGAAGTACCACACGGCCGTTTCGTCCTGGTATGGGACTCATCAGTGGCAGTGTGCATCCACAACTCCTGTAACTCGCACGATCTGACTCAGGGCCTTCGGGCTTGCGTGCGAGCGCCTGAACTCTGGACCACTGAATCGGGCGGAGTCCAATGGTATTAATGTCTAACTCTGATCAATCCTAGAGATTTTGAGCGTCGTAACCCATTCATCTTCGGTAGTTAGTTGTTGTTTTGTCGGTCAAGAATGTTGTCCAGAAAAGCAAAACCCTGGACTTATGTCTAATGATAGTTGGTACGTGGAAGTACGATTATAACTATAACCTTGAGAAAAGTGATTCTATCCACTCACCGTTCAACTATGATATTTAGAATCGGTCATTCACTAATTAGTAAACCTTTATCATACTATATTCAGTTTCATAATGATTTTCATGACAAAAAGACGCAATTTCATCGAAACAAAATAATGAAAGTACCGAACAGTTTGTTTCGTTTAAATGTTGAAATTTTTACGTCATGATACATGATAGATGAAAACGATGTGAAATCAAGATTAACAGACTGCAAGACCTTCAGACATGAAAATCAATTCAATAATTGAGAATTTCTCGCAATAAACTTATGTAAAGAATGTCAGTAATTGACTGGGATTAAAGTTTCGATTGTGTATTGATAAGTGAATAATCTGAATTTTTAAATGTTACTGACTTATCATTTACAAATTAATGAATAATTTTGTAAAATAGTTCTTAGAGTGCTGGAAAGGAACTCTGATCCGTGTAATCAAACAACTGAAATCATGAATCAGCCATCGTTAAACCACCATCAGAAACCGGAAAGCACTGGACATCCGTTTCGTCCTGGTATGAGACTCACCAGTGGCATTGCTGATCCACGACCCCTGCTACTCACTATATTCGAACCCAGGACCTTCGGTCTCGCTCCAGCGAATGCCTAACCTCTGGACCACTAAACCCGTGGGACTCATCAGTGTTAATGTCTAAATCTGATCAGTCTAGGGATTTCGCACTGAAGAGTATCATACTAGGACGAAACGGCTGTGTCACTACACTGCGCTGCCTAAGAGTCTTTATTTTTCAATGATTATCTCGATAAATTTTCTCACAAATATTCTTAGACAAAGAAACAGGTGAACAAATTTATCCAAGTCCACCGAATACTTGTGCTGGAGTTGAAACTCGCTACCTGAATGGTTATCCTGCACCACTCTCATCTTTGGCGGACACATATGAATTCCAATCGGATAATGGAAAATTCCATTTATATAATATGAAAGAACCAAGTACAACACCACCAGTACAAATGCGTTTTATCATTGAACAAAAGAAATTGGATGAAAATGGTCAACTGAAAGATGTGATACGTTATGCGTCACAATATATTGATTTGATTCCATCGGAAGAAGGAGATCTGCCTGAAAGACAGCCAAGTATGTTTTTAAGTATCGGTTATCTATATCCGAGTCGCATGTGTTTTAATATCATTGGTCATTTTGAAAAAGTCAACTGTGATTCAATATGAGGCGGAAAATTTGTGCGTTAAAATACATTGTCTTGTGTGTGAGAATTGAATTTTGATCATTTCAGAGGATAATTCAATATTTTGGGTAGAACAGTGAGAAGACCTAATTAGTCTGAAAAATGTTGTGATGTATTTGCGCGCTATACACTGTTCGAACAATCTGGTCACACATATGGACACTTGTCAAGGCATTTTGATATGAAGATGAATAAAAGGTCAATTAAATAAAAGTTCAGATAGCGACATAAGGTGATCATTGTAAATGAAGGTGAGAGAGAAAATTAACGTAATATGAAAATAATAAGAAATGGTAGGAAAATTGTCACATTACCCCCTTTGGCTTAAAGAATAGCAGAGTATAAATTCAAGGTTTACGACAAATTGTTTCTGTACACAAAAGAATGGGGATTTTAATTTACGAATAGCCAAGGCTTCCATAAACCTCAAAATTAATCCTTCAACATTTCTATACAATGTTTTGAAGGCAGTCTTGATGTCAATCTTATGCGCCCTGTCTCAATTATGTGTTTTGCAATCGATGAACATGGTTTTCTATTTCCAACGCTAATCGGCTCATCTGACGTTAACTGATTTTAAAACTACTTAGGTACATGTTCCATAAGCCTTGATTGCAAAGTCCGATTACTCCTCCCTATGTGTGCATGTGTGTGTCCACACAAACATGTAAATTGATAAATGCAATGGGATGTGATGTATTCATCATTCGAGCAACGTTTATGTATATGCGAAATCATGGACTTGGTCTTTTCAATGATAATCAGTTTAGCAGAGTTGTATGTTTTCTCCTATGGCTACTTTTAGTCTCTGTCTTATTATTAGACCATTTGCTTCACCTCTAAATGGTAGCTACAGTGTAACATCTCAACATTCAAAGTTTCATTTTCGAGCATAAACCGATCATGAATTTAGGGGAAGATAAGAAACTTTATTCATAATTCTTCATGTAGAAAGTTACACATACTAATTGATACGAAGGGGCACGTAAATATATTAAAGCAACATAGAAATCAATGAACTGATGATTGAGATGAGATACTGCATGGCTGCCCAAACTAAAGTGGGTGATTTCTTTGAGGGATAACCCTCTGAGTTATTGATCTACAGGTCTAATCCACAGGACAGTGGAACAAGCGCAAGAGATGCAGTCTCTTGGTGGTTGGTAACCAACATTAAGTGTGTACGCCGTTCTTTCTGTTATTATTCTTGTTGGGGATGTGAGATACCCAAAACTCACTTGATAAAGGTTCGAATTTTGGATTTTATGCTTTCGAGCATGGGCTGACCAGTTGACCTTGAGTTTACATTTCCCACCCGAAAAACCCTTGACTGTCATTGGTTGATGTGTTATTTTGGCACTCTATTTTTGCGGCTCTCTCAAGGACGTTCCTGTTATGTATAAATAAACTCGATTTCTAAGCTTGTCAACATCGATTTTCTGGGTGCTTGTAGAATACACTTTCTACGTCTTGTCAAGACTTCTTCCTCTACTTAGTGGGGCCTTGGGATGCTCAGATTAGAGTAGCCTATCGTGTCACTGGATCATTTGTCTTCACTCTCGTTTACCGACTAAGGTGAACTCGTAATAGCATTCAAGCATATCAGTTGACGAGCATAACAATTCTAGAGCCTGTGTGCATCACTGGTTAGGAATCAGGGATTTCCAAAATCCACCATGTGCATCCTCCATATCTACCAACCCGATCAAAGCGTCGGATATTCGCTTTTCGTCAACACAATTTCGTATATAACATTCTCGCCATGAGAATCTAGTAAATAGGACGTCCCGTGTGATAGCTGTGCATGCCTCACCATAGGACAGAACTTAGAGAAGGGGAGCACATTCTCTCCACCCTCGGTCATACCAGGTCATTTAAGGGCAGTAAGAAGTTTATTGACATGCAAGAAAGGCTTCAAACCTGCAGATTGTTCTAGAGATAATATAGAGTTAACATGAAACATTTTTCGTTCTAGAAACTTCCAATGATAAGTGTAACGTATTTTTAGCATTTAATTTATTCAAAATTTCTGAACTTTTACATCAATCAACAGTTGTTCCATGTCGGGTATGAGAGATGGCGAATTTTCACAGAAGAGGCTCTATTTTGATTGGTTCAACTTGTAAGTTTTGTACATCGCAGTTGAGCGTCCTCGATCTCAAGAATCATACAGTCATCATCTTTAACATTGAATAGTGATTGGTTGCACTATACAGTCAACTGAATAAATCTGGAATCGTAATACTAACATTAGTAGATGGCCACCCTCTAGTTGAACTGTTAACTCTGTGACGTTGGATCTGAAATTTCAGAGCTTAACCTTTTGTCTAAAGGATTGTGAGTAGATACAGATACGAAGGGTCACATTAAAACGAAACAGTTGTCCAATATTCAATATTTTCCTAATTGAAATGAATCTTTAACAAATACAACTTACGAACAGGGAATTTGTATTGAAATTTAGTAATATCGTCTGCATAATTCTTATCACTTAAATGTGTTACACAACTGTCATCTATTCTTTTTAAACAATCAGTGGAGAAGATTTATCCGATTATCGATGGTTTAAATGGTTGCGGTCGATTACCAATTATTACTGGAAATAATATCACTTTAATGTGTCGTCCAAATGGTAAGCAGTATTTAGTGAAATTATTTAGTGAAATTAATAATACTACTGAAATATGCAATAGTCCGATTAGTAGTAGTATATAATTGAACAAATAATTTTTTCCTAGATTAACAATGGTTTTGCTGTTAATCTCTTTATAAAACTAGATCTATTGTGGATATGTTTCGATTTCTAGTCTGAATAAAGACAACAGAATATCATCGTCCAATTAAAAGTATTCATCGCTGAATAGATCTGTTCTTGAAGTTGAAAGTTACATACAAAGTGTGCTTGAAAGATCGGATGCATTTGCACTCTGTCGGATTCAAATTTACTGCACACGGCGAATTAGTCATTGTAGTTAAAGATTTTAGTTATTGTATCATGACTTACCTCCCCAAACATAACTTGAGTGAGTATACATGGATTTAAACTGTAGGATCCATAACTAACTGACTGACTGACTGACATTTTATATCTAGTCCAGATATTTTAAATTCTGTTATAAACAGATCGGCAAAAGTTTGAAAAAGAGAAAACTTCGGTAGGATTGGAGTTAATAACTTAAGAGATTGATTTTAGAGGCTGTAGTATGTCGTTTTATTGCGTGTTTTTAATCTTTGTGATTAGCTCGTCCAGACAATCGTTACTAACTAGCGTTTGACGGTTATAAATCAGAAGGTGAACTCATAGTGATGAATACGTTTATTTGGGACACACCACAAAGCGAAGCGGAGAAGCAGCGAATAAAACGAATGAAGCGACGTGAATTGGAGAAGGCTGTTGAGCCAACTCCCAGGATTACAATGCGAACGAATGGGCTAAGGAAGCGAATGAACAGGCGAAGCGCGTTGGAGAAGGCTAATGAGCCAACTCCAGGAGATAGAGCATGACTAAGAATATATAGTTAGACAAATATAAGACAGACATGTGATCAACGAGATAGGCATGCACACACATGAATAAAAGCGACGAATAGTTGACAAGGTCAAATGACAAGTGGGACACGTCATGTGAGCGAGCTCATACAAACCAGACAATAATAAGAACGAATGGTACATATAAATTGTTGCAATACAAATGGCTTGGTTAAATAAATTAATCGAAAGGGTTTAACCAAATTAGATGTTAGCGAACTGGAATATATGTGGAGGCACTACAAGGCAATTAATTTCAAATTGATTAGATGTCATTTCAATGTCGAGTTATTCGTGATGATGATCAGACGACAGACATGAATATTTCGCGATGACGTAACAGAAATGGTACAGTTAGATTGTGATAACTGTTGTGTACTTCAATTTCAAATTTCTCCATATATTAACACATTCCGCTCGGGTGTGGGACTCACCAACAGTGCGCGTTCACGACCTCTGCTTCTTGCAGCATTAAAACTAAGGACCTTCGGCCTTGAGCACGAACGGCTAACCTCTGGACAACTGAATCAGTGTCTAACTATGTTCATGTCCAACTCCGATTAGTTCACGATTTGGAGCAACCCCATCCACTGTCCATAACCGAACTGGTTGAACTTCATCTGTCACAACTCATTAGAACTCGCAAAAGATGCCTGTGTTCAAATCCTTTGAGGGGCAGAGGTTGTGGATACGCACTGCCACTGATGAGTCCCATACAAGGACGAAACGGCTGTCTTTCAGTGTTTCCAGGTTTCTTCTAATGGTGGTCTAATTTTGATCGATTTTTTTCGATTTCAAATTCGTAACTTAACAATCTTCACAACCTCCCTTGTAATTCATTTACACATAAATCGCTTATTTCAAAGTTGACATTCTGCTTTTTATTTACACCCCGCAGATACACGTCTCTTATCTGAACCACTTTTATATGATTGGGAAATTCGTGATAAGTACGGGCATCTATTACCACGTGTGAATTTATTGGCGAAAATAATTAAACAAGAAAATAATCGTCTGAGTTTAATTCAGATGATACAACCGACTATTCCATCGTATGGTCGTTGTATTATTATGCGAAAATTCGGTGTACAAGATCGTTATCATTCGGAATATTTTGAAATTGGTGAGCATGGATTAGACTGTGAACCAAGTAAGTGTTGTTTCAGTGTCGTTTTAGTGAAATAATGTATTGTGATCCGATTGAGACCATGGATTAGACTGGATGCGTATTGGGTGCTGATGAGTAGCAAAATACTGGAGAGAAGAAACGGTTGTTCCGTGCTTCCAGGTTTCACATGGTATTGGTCTAACATTGGTTGATTGGAATGTTTTAAAATAGAATATTTTCTTTTGTGGATATCGAAAATGCTTAATTGTAATGTCGATTTATTAAGGTATTGTTACGCCTGCACGTAAACACGTCAACTTGATATGCTTGAACGACTACGAGTTTACCTAGTCGGAAAACGAGGGCGAGGATCCGGCGACACAACATGCTACTCACATCCGATTATTCCAACCCCCATATTGAGTAAAAATAAGAAGACTCGGTATGAAGTGGAACCTGTATTCTACAAGCATCCAGAAAGTACGAGGTCCGAGTTCAGAAGAGAATCAGGATCCCAGACTAGTGATCTGGGACCGGGTCCTGGTCCTGGTCCTGGCCGTAAAACGTTACACATAATGCGTATTTATACATTTTGGTTGAATACGAAACAGCATCGAATTCTGTGACATTGACAGTTTTGGACGACTAATAGGAAGTAACAACTGAAGTGACACTGATAGTCAGAACAACCACAATAAGAAACAAAATTGGAGCATGTGACATTGATATCTAGGATGACCATATAATTGACCAGTAGGGATTGACCAATAGGAATAGACCAATAATTCTCTTAGGATATTGGATGAATATCCTAACAGGTATTGATGATATTTAAATCATGTGAATTTAGGATAACTTGTCATTGAATCGCATTATTTGACAAGCTATAAAATACAGTCTAGGAAACTAGATGGTGAAGAAAATTTTTAGCTTAGGTAGATGATTGTTGTGATGTTTCATTCTCTGAGCTAGATGTTTCAAATTTCTATCTGAAGTTTGGGCCTGACGATGTTGTTCAGAAGAATAAGGAAAGCTCCACTACCGAAACATACAACTCACAGAATAAAACACCACAACAATCAAGGAAACTGGGTTTCATTTTATAGGGATATTTATCCCTAATTCAGGTATCATATGATTGGAAAATGAAACTTTTGCTATGGCAATAAAAAAAGGTAATAAGAGTGTTTGAGCCTGTTTGCATCAAGCTTGGCTGCATCTCTTACTACTAACCTATGCCATACGATGTATACACTATGAGTTGTATTGACATATAGAACTGAAGGTTTCCTATGAGACTAGAACTTCATTGTGATGAATATTGTGAATGATTTGACATTACTTCGGCAAGTTTTCCTTTCTGATCATATGCGAATTTCGGTTTGCAAGTTGAGCGATTTTATTGATACTAGTGGTTGTTTTGCAACATTCTTGATGGCTATTGTCATTGGGATGCATATCACCATTGCTAATAATAATCATGAGTTTGACAGTCATGTGTAAGAGGGATGAGTCAAATTGGCCTATTCTCATGCTGTGCATATTGATTGACGCGATCATCGGTCGGAAATAATCAGTGTATGTGTTGGTGTATATAAATGATGTGAATGGTCCATCATAGTGTCAAGTACCTGTGTAATGGTTGAGTCCTGGGATTGTGCTGTACTGTTCACGTTGTAGTGTTCACACGTGAATAGTGTCTTTGGTTTTCCAGAAAATCAATGTAAAATTACCCTTGCCAATGGGGGATGAGTTCATATACTTGAAAAGTTTCATTTAATAATATTGATCTTTCATATCTACATTTCACATCATAAAACTTTGAGCAAGACTTGTACTTTACCGGACCTTGTCCAATTTATTCAGTTACTTACTTACTTACTTTGTTTATGCTTGTTACCCCTCATGGAGCATAGGCGAAAGACCAGCGTTCTACAACCTACTCTGTCTGTTCATTCCTCTCATGTCTGTCTCCATTTCACGGTGTAATGTGTTCGTTGGTCTTCCTCTTTTTCTCTAACCTTGAAGATTTCAGGTGAGGACTTGTCTAGTGTTGCAATAGGGTATTTTCTTCAATGTCTGTCCTAGCCAACTCCAACACTTCCTCCTAACTTGTTCATCCGCAATTCGGTTTGTTCTCTCCTCACAGTAGATCGATGCTGATGATATCTAGCTGACGAATCCTCAGTATTTTGCATAGATAATTGTTAATAAACATTTTGTATCTTGTAGATGATGTCATTCGTGGTTCTGCATGTTTTCACCGTACACAGTAGAACTGTCTCTACATTTTTTTACTAAAAATTGTGATTTTAGAGTGTTGATTGACAGATCGTTGTTTTGAGTCCGAGAGGTTGTTCAATCCACTATGCCTAATTATTATTCATATTTCATATTTATTTCAAGGTGGATCACAATTTATCCCAGATATACCTGGTTATATTCCGAAACCAAGTGAACGATATGAAGTTTTAATTAGAATTGTTGGTTTAAATAATATGGGTGAAGTGATTGCTAAGCCTGGTGATGATATTTCATTGAAATGTTTAGCATTAAGTAAGTTGACCATGTTTTATTTTCATGTACATATATGCTTAAGATTATTGTAAGATTCTACATGAATCTAATTGAAATATGTGATTTGTCTAATAAGTATGCATACGGAGATATTAAAGTTGTTGGTCAGTAAGAAAACTACTCAAATTGGCAAATGAATTGTACTTGAACGTCCCTCAAGTATCCTGGCTGGCGCGACCGAGAGTGAGGAGTGTCCACTATACTTCTCCAAATTCTCTCACATGGTCAAATATGCTTAGATATGGTCAGGGACATACTGCGGTGTGTGCTACTTATACGAACGATATAAGCAGTATAAGAAGGGACGTGAAAGACGTGAAAGTCTCACTGTCAGAAGAGAAAAACGGAAAGCAAATGGAGCAAAAGCAAGACATACTACTTACTGGCTACCCTCAACAGGGATGTTGTTTACGAAAATGAGAGTATGAAACAAGAATGTTCGGTAGAAGTTTAGATTGGGTTATTTGATACTGAGGATGAACTTCGTGGAGTGACAGAAGCTTGGTTCCAAACAAAAAATAGGCTTCATGATCCTGGTGGAACAAGGGGCATTTCAGTCTATTGTTGACCATTAGCACAAGTACACAAATACAGAGATCTGGGTAATTGAAAAAAGTCTGGTGCAACTTTTCGGTGAAGTGAATTATCTAACAATTAAATGAATAAGTCCGTGATCAGCTGAATATCACACGATTGCACTCTATTCTAAATTGTGCACATATACCTATCTCTTTGAACTTTCAAGGTATTTGACTATCCCCAATGAAGATTTATTCGTGTGAGATGAAGTGATGTATTCGAATTTTTAGTATGTTCCGATGATTATTAGAGATCACTAGAAAGACCTTGGATCTAAGTCATTTGATTGCTGGCATGCTTAAGCTTAGTATGTTTGCGATTCTCTTTGAAGTGATGCCGTTTGTGGTTTCAAGAACGTGTCACTTGAACTACAGACTTCGAAGTTACTAATGAACTGATTGTTGCACATAGTTATACACAACAACTAAAACTTTAATATACGCCTTGAAAAAAAACATGATTAACAGTGTTCTGCACGAAAATCCAGGTGAGAACATCAACAATATATATTTAAGCAAACATTACAGAGTTGTTAAGCATATGTACAAAACCTTCCCGTGAAATCATCATTTGCAAACTAATCCTTATTTGTTTCAGATTTCAGTGTTCTTTCACATTTAGACTGTTCAGATTTCAGTTCACTTTACGTTACCTACAAATCGCCTTCTGTTCTCATTCTTTCCTTCTCGATCTTTTTTTTGCTGTCAGACGTTTGATTTCCATTTGATATCATATACTACTACTTATGTGAACATAAGTAGCTTACATCACAATAGTAATATTTTTTTTCCTAAAACAATTTTATTTACAGATGCCACTACTCAAGAACCCATTCCAAATGTTGCCACTGGATGGAGTTTTATGAATGATTATGAAGAATTATTACCAATCGGGAAATTAGCTTCAAGTGTCAAACTAAGTCAGGATGATGAATTGCAATTGACCAGTTTATATGAAAATCCCAATGCACGTGGTCGTTGTATGATTACATTAGATCAAAAAGTCACATTGAGTTCACCATACTTTAGATATCATGTACCTGGTGAAATGATATCACGTAAGTAAGATAGAGTGTGTTCAATTATTTTGAAAGAAAATGTGCGCTGTGTGGGAAGGATTTGATTTCGACCAATTTGGTCTCTCGTGCTGTTATGGGTATGAGGGCGGTTGTCACTTCCCGGCTGCCCACACCGTGGAAGGTTGTTTCTTGAGGGACCTGAAAAGGAAGATAGATTAGTGTTGGTCTTGGAGACCTGGGAGCGTGACCGCAGAGTCCAAGGGACAACTGCTTTTGGCGGGTCACGCACGGCCTTTTTATAAAAGGTATTTTGAGGATTAGCTCCGTTCTTAAAGGCGTTTAGTGGGCACCCTCACCGCCGGAGACGGAAATCCGTGATGTAGGTTGAGGTGTGACATTTTTATGGTCGATCTCTCCTTACCCTTCCTTCCTTGTGAGAAGGCAGTAGCATCGCTGCAGATGCTGGTTGTCCTAAGGAAACACCTTACTGCTGTCACACGCCTCTGCAGTCAGCAGTACGACTTCGCCCTCAGACCTTGGGTAGCTGCTTTTAGTCTCATCATTCTCCAATCGACCTGGCTGCCTGGCATGGTAGAACCTTCAGGAACATATGTTCCAGCCAATATAGCTCGGTTGGGTCATCACGATAGGCAAGTCCCTCCACCACGTCAAGACAGCAGCTACGGTCGTGTTGAATTCGAGGAAGAGCTCACTGCTTTAGTGACCCATGCTTTAGCTCTGATAGCATACTTGGGCGAACTTCGTTTGTACTGTGCGACGTTGGTAATAGGGAGCCAAATACGGATTCGGTTAGATGAGTTTTTATTTCAAGCAGTTGTTTGTTCAGACAAACACGACAATGAAGAGTTATGATACAAGCACTACGAACGAGCCAACTTCTTGCGATAGAGCATGAGTCAATGTTTATAGTTAGACATCGTAAATAGGGATAGGATACACACTACAAAAAGCACCTAACTGCGTCATGAAACAAGCCCTCACATGGAACCATCAAGGCAAAAGGAAAAGAGGAAGGCCAAGGAATACATTACGCCAAGAAATAGAGAAAGGCATGAGAGGAATGAACAAAAATTGGACAGAATCGGAAAGGGAAGCCCAGGACAGAGTTGGTTGGAGAAAACTGGTGAACGGCCTATGCTCCATTGGGGGTAACAGGCGTAAGTAAGTAAGTAAGTAATCATAAGTAAGCCAGACATTTAGTAGGCGAAGTAAGCGTGCACTCACACTAGAATGAAAACAACCCAAGATAACACAGGCGAATGCATTGACAAGGTCGGAGAAGACGTATGAATCATAACTTGGGTAGAATAGCTTAGTTAAATTGTCTGAAGGCTTAGAACAAGCCGTATGGATTCGATATTACAGTACAAGCTTGAGATTGCTTTAGAGTTGAAGCGAATTTCATCGAATAGAGCATAGGCCGCCAATCAGCGAATTCAGTTTTTTTTCCTGGTTAGCGTTTTTTATTTTTAACGAGTTGGATTTCTGCGGAATAGGAGTCGCTAATCCCATATGCCCAACCTTCCTCCTTTATTATCCCGGGTTTGGCACCATTAGTAACCCTACAACAGCTCCGATTTCATTTGTTCAAATATTCTTTTACTAAATCTAATCACATGAAAATTTATACATATATATATATATATATATATATATATATCCTTTTATCTTCCTCATTCATTTCCAGCTCATACATCAATCAGTAGTCCATCCTATTCCGATAAACGTGTACGAGTTGAAATTAGTGGATTGAATGAACAAAATCAAATTAGTGTTACACGTGTTGGTGATGATGCAACGCTGAGATGTCAAGCTATTGTTGTCGATTCTAGTTCACCTTTATATCCAACCCATGGTGTACGTTATGGTTGGGAATGGCGTTACACTGATGAAGACCCAGTAGCAACAAGTAATGTTGCGGTAAGTTTAGAAACCAACGGGGATCGGCTAGGATTACATGGTATGCGTCCACCGCCGGGTACAAAGGGTAGGAATGTTAAAGGACGGTGTATAGTTCATGTGCCAGCACAAAAAATCGATCCTTCCTTATCGTCTGATGATGAATTGGTCTATGGGTCAGATTACTTTACCATTGATGTTGCAAGAAAACCGACAACTATTGATCCACAGTTGATTCCAATCCCTGGAAGAGATACAGGTGAGTGACGGACCGATAAGGTTGTTGGAAATACTTATTAACTATAGAAAATGCAAGGCAATCGCTCATTTTTCTTCTGTTGATAAGAATAGAATATTTTCATTATATAAGGTTGTGGAGATTGTTGAGTCGTCACGTTGAAATCATGATTCGATGAGTGTTAGACTGCCATTGGACACTTGGAAGAATTGGATGGCCGTTTTGTCCTAGTGTAGAGCTAATCGGTTTCAGGGCGTATCGACAACGTCCGCACTCGGGAATCGGACCCAAGACCTGAGATCTTGCACACGGACGCTTCATCTTTATGATATTCATTTTTGTTTTCTGGCTACTTTGATTTACATATCAACTAAAAATGTACTAAATTATGTAAAATACATTTTAAAAGAAGTATCAACTAATACTTTCAGTTTCAAAAATTAGTCCAACTGATTATGATTGAAATCATGAAACAACCATTGTTAGACTACAATTTGAACCCTGAAAACAGTGGACAGCCATTTCTTCCTTTTATGAGACTCATCAGTTGTGCAAGTTCACGACTCCCCTTGCTCGCAGGAATCGAATCCAACACCTTCGGCCTTGCTGGCGAACACCTAACATCTGGATCACTGAACAGGTGGCATCCAACGGGGTTAATGTCTAACTTGGATTAATCTAATAATTTTGAGAAACCTCACTCCCTGTGTTTGGTAGTTATTGCCAAACGGAAACATGGCAGAAATAAATGATGTCACTGACAACTGGATTGAGTTATGTTGTCAAATGTCGACTACCTGGATGGGGTCCGCGAGATGATAGTAATCGATGGTTAGAGACCCGTTTGCAATGGCTGAGATGCATCCATTCTTTATGTTCTCTCAAATCTTAACTTTCTGAATTCCTCATCACCTCTATCTTTTTCTTTTTAAGTTTATTTCACTAGATTATACTTCTTGAATAATACCCTCGAACCCTAATCTCTCCGATTACTGTGTAGTGACTCCACGTATATTCGAGTTCGCTTACATCTAATTTAGTTAAGCCCATTCGATTAATTTATTTAACCAAGCCATTTGTATTGCAACAATTTATATGTACCATTCGTTCTTATTATTGTCTGGTTTGTATGATGAGCTCACATGACGTGTCCCAATTGTCATTTGACCTTGTCAACCATTCGTCGCTTTTATTCATGTGTGCCTATTTTGCTTGTCACATGTGTCTGTCTTATATTTGCCTGACTATATATTCTTGGTCATGCTCTGTTTCTTTGAGTTGGCTCATTAGCCTTCTCCAACACTCTTCGCCTATTCATTCACTTCCTTCGTCCATTCGTTCGCATGGTCATCCTAGGAGTTGGCCCAACAGCCTTCTCCAATTCACTTCGCTTCATTCGTTTTCTTCACTGCTTCTCCACTTCGCTTTGTAGTGTGTCCCAAATAAACATGTTCAACACAACGAGTTCGCCTTCTGATTTATAAACCGTCAGACGCTAGTCAGAGACGATTGTCTGGACGAGCTAATTACTGAGCTTAAGAACACGCAGTAAATCGGCACACTACAACTGTTCATACTTCTACTACCTTTACACTACTATGCGGTTTGAATTGACAATTGCATCTCTGTGTGCTAATGTTGTATGGCAGCATAAACTGATGTACGCGCGTACGCACGAAGTTCTACGTCAGAACTGACAAGGTTGAGCTCCACCAGTTACATCTTCTCGACGTCATCGATAACTAGCAATCTCCATAACTCTATAATGAAAACGAAAACTGATTATTATTCATTGAATATTGATTTTTTACTCATTTACTTATTTTTCAGATAATATTGAAATTGTTATCGATGGATTAGACAATGAAGGTTACTTAGTTGGCAATGAAAAAGACAGTGCCAGTGTTGTATGTGAAGCTAGAAGTAAGTAGTTTTCTCTCTCTCTCTGTATCAAATTGAAAACCACTTTCTGCTACGTGACATCATGTTTGATTGAGATAAACAGCATACTTTTCCTTTACCTGCCTATAATACACTTACACAATCAACTATCCTAATGAAGATAACTGTGAAATGATTAGAAAGCTTTTTTTAATTGGGTGAAAGAATCGATTAGTAGTAGATCAATCATTGGTCATGTGACCTGACGTAAATTTGCACGAACGATTGAACATGCGATGAAATAAATCTTCCCTTCAATTTCCGTATATCATGACATAATTAGGCAACAACAAATGCAAGAGAAGACGACCAGTGTAGCAGCAGCCTCTAGAGCAGCAGTAGGTCTCAAAATACTTAAAGGGAAAAGTAAGATTCTACGATACAACACAACATGCGCCAACTAAATCACTCTTGATGGACACGCCTTGGAGGACGTTAACATCTTTACATATCTGAACAGCATCATCGACAACCAAGGTGGATCCGATGCAGATGTGAGGGCGCGGATCGGCAAAGCAAGAGCTGCATTTCTACAGTTGAAAAATATCTGGAACTTCAAACAACTTTCAACTTAAACTAAAATCAGGATTTTCAATACAAATGTCAAGACAGTTCTACTGTATGGAGCGGAAACTCGGAGAACTACCAAAGCCATCATCCAGAAGATACAAGTGTTTATGGACAGTTGTCTACGCAAAATACTTCAGATTCGTTGGCCAGACACCATCAGAAACAGCCTACTGTGGAGGAGAACAAACCAGATTCGAGTGGAGGAGGAAATCAGGAAGAAGTGGTGGAAGTGGATAGTACACACACTGCGAAATGCACCTAACTGCTTCACAAGACAAGCCCTCATTTGGAACCTTCAAGGCAAAAGGAAAAGTGGAAGACCAAGGAACACATTACTCTGAGAAATAGAGAAAGATATGAGAAGAATAAACAAAAACTGGAAATAACTAGAAAGGGAAGCCCAGGACAGGCAGAGTTGGTTGGAGAAAACTTGTGGGCGGCCTATGCTCCATTGGGGTTAACAGGCGAAAGTAAGTAAGTAAGTAAGTAAGCAATACTTAAGCAAGCCCGGTTTGTGCAACGTCGATAATCCTAGACCAAATAACGTGGCACGGATCAATTTATTTCACACAGTCATTTAAGCAGACAGACATGAGAATGAAAAGCGTACAAGCAAAGAAAAGTGAAGTGGAGAAGAAGAGTGAGGCAACTCAATGCCATGAAATATGACTGAGTATTTATAACCAGACAAAAGTAAGCCAGACATGTGTTAAGTGAAGTAAGCAGGCACATACATGCCCAAGTAAAAGCAACCAATGCTATAGGAGATTGATTGACAAGGTCTAAGGGCATGTGAATAATGACTCTCACAGCCAATGGTTAAGTAGTTTGTCGGAAACCTAGGGCAAACCATGTGCGCTCAACATATCAGCGCACACACTGCAATTTGCTATTCCGGCCGATATATGAAACCATCCAGGTTTCTAATGGTGGTCTAACATTGATCGATTCATGGTTTCAAAAATGTGTAACTTAACAATCTTCACAACTCAGTCAATTGTCAGGAGACTTGTTATAAATTTAGTTTTCAGTTCATTTTCAATTAATCGTCATTAAGCTGTGTTCTTAAGTTGGATAGCTTCAACTTTTGTTCTATTTTAAATTGCTATAGCTGATAGCAATCAGTTATTCGATCTGAAATAATTTACGTCAAAGAAGGAATGGAAACTACTGTCCAATTATATTTTGTCAGTATTTTACTGATTAATTCAGTGTTTTCAATTCCTAAATTCAAAATTCAAATTTTATTGATCACTAGCTGTTATGCTTGACACCAGTTGATATGCTTGAATGCTATTACGAGTCTACCTTAGTCGGTAAACGAGATCGTAGACAAATAATCTAGTGACATGATAGACTACTCTGATCCGAGCGTCCCGACGCTCCACTAAGTAGATGAAGAAGTCTTGATAAGACGTAGAAAGTGTATTCTACAAGCACCCAGAAAATATGAGGTTGACAAGCTTAGAAATCGAGTTTATTTATACATCATAGAAACGTCCTTGGTAGAGCCACGAAAATGGAATACTAAAGTAACACATCAACCAATGACAGTCAGTGATTTTCCAGGTGCGAAATATAATCTGAAGGTCAGCTGATTAGCCCATGTGCGAAGGCATAACATCCAAAATTAATAACCTTTATCAAGTGAGTTCTGGCGATCTAACGTCCTGTTAGGTTCGTCACTAAGTACGCTTGAAGCTATTACGAGTTCACCGTAGTCGATAAACACGAACGAGACAATGACCCTACGTCCAGATAGGCTACTTTGATCCCAAAACTCCAAAATAAAAGTTTGGATAAGCGTAAAAAGTATATTCTACAACACCCAGCAATCACAATACAATCACGAATACAACTCTCGTTTATTTATACATCATAGAAACGTCCTTGGGACAATCACAAAAAAAGCACACTCAAATATACAACAGCCAATCACAGCGAAGGATTTTGCCGGTGGGATATGTGTGATATCAAGGTCAACTGATCAGCCCATGCTTGCAAAACTGAGGCATTTACGAAGCGAGTTTTGGGGATCTAACATCCCCAACACGTCCCCAACATTCGCATCATGAATTTGAAAAATTAAAATTAATTCTACTTACTAGTCATATCAAAACATCTTTAGAAAAACAACAAGAATCGGTATCAACATCCAAGTTGGATTGAACTTGATTGGTGCAGCTTGTGAAACATTTAAACTGTTCACTACTGTGTGTGTTGAAGAGTTTGACAAATATTTAAAAAGGACACATTACCCTTTCAATATTGATTCTGATTAATATCTTAATTTAGATTCGACCACAAAACAACGATTATCAACTGAAGGTCTACGTGCAGAATATGATGTGATGTATGGTTGGGAATTTTCCGATGCTACAGGTCGATCAGTAGATTCCAGTCTGTTCGCTGACAGTGTATCAATGGATTCATCGAGGAATTTACGTTTAAGAGATTTAGTTGCACCTAACCGCGGTAATTTACCATTTAAAATTCGTTGTACAGCTGTTGTCAGTAAACGACCAACTGTACCAGATGAAAAACCTCCTACACCAAAATTATATACATCCGATTATTTCGGTGTGGATGTTAGACGTAATGATGGTACATCGACAAGAACTGGCGGTGAAGTTGACAGTAAGTTCAGATTGTTTACGATTTTTCTGATCATTAGTTCAATTCAGTGAAATGTTAAGAATATAGATGATGATAGTCATTCTAATTCTAGTATTCAGTGAAAGTTCAATATATATTTCGATCATCGATGTCTTCGAAGCATTGCTCGTGTATCATGGGACAACCAAATAAGCAATGCTGTCGTTAGGAAACGAGTTCTAGGTAGCGACGGCAAATCAATAGATGAAGTAGTGAAGCTTCATCAGTTGAGATGGTTGGGACATGTGTTACGTATGCCTAACTACCGACTACTTCGACGAGCTATGTTTTCTGGTATAGGAGTAGGTAGGGGCGACCAAATTAAACATGGCACAAATCCATGAAGTCACTGACTAATGGACTGAGTCATATCGGTAGATGTAGGCTACCTGTATGGGGTCCGCGAGACGAAAGTCACCAATGGTTAGAGACCTTGAACGACAGGGCTGAGAATCGTTCGCAATGGCACAGGTGCATCCACTCTTTGTGTTCTCTGAAATTCTAAGCTTCTGCATTCCTCATAATCTCTACCTTTCTCCTCCTAAATTTATCTCACTGAATTATACTTCTCGAATCATATCTTCGCTCTTTAATCTTCTCCATTACTGCTAATACTTCTATTATTGCTATCAATCTTGGATTTGAACTGACAGTTACATCTCTGTGCTGACATGATAAGGCAACCTGAACTGATGTACTTACGTACGAAGTTCTGTGTTGTATCTGTCTGTCTGTCAAAATATATCATTTACGAGTAATTTGTAAGTGCATTTCATGAGTCTGTATCAAGTATAAGAGTATAATTTTCACCGAAAGAATTTATTTTCATTTCCTTTAAAGACTTTTTATATTGTCTGTGGACATTTCACCGCAGTGATTCCTAACTTGCTGGATGAAAATTACAAGTTAACAGTAAATTAGAGCTTGGCACACAATCAACATAAGAATAAGTTTTTTTGAGATAATTTTTGTTTATTAAATGAATAGTAAAATGGTCGATATTACACAGCTGAGAAATACTTACCTGATTACTGTTACGCCTACACGTAAACATGTCAACTTGATATGCGCTTGAACTATTACAAGTTTACCTTACTTAGTCGGAAAAGGAGAGCGAGGATCGATGATCCAGCGACACTACATGCTACTCAAATCCGATTATCCTAACCCCCCACATTGAGTAAAAATAAGAAGACTTGATGTGAAGTAGAACCTGTATTCTATAAGTATCCAGAAAGTACGAGGTCCGAGTCTAGAAGAGAATCAGGATCCCGGACTAGGGATCCGGGACCGGGTCCTGTTCGTGGTCATAAAACGTTACAGATAATACGTATTTATACATTTCGGTCGAATAGGAAACAGCATCGAAGTCTATGACATTGACAGTTAAGACGACCAATAGGAAGCAACATTTGAAGTGACACTGATAGTCAGGACTACCAATAAGAAACAGCATTGGAGCATATGACATTGATATCTAGGATGATCATGAAATTGACCAGTAGGAATTGACCAATAGGAATAGACCAATAATTCTCTTAGGATACTGGATGAATATCCTAACAATTACTTACTTACTTACTAATGCCTGTTACTTCTTAATGGAGCATAGGCCGCCGATTAGTGAATTATTTTTCTTGTGGTGGAGTTTCACTCTCTGAGCTTTGGATGTTCAGGTTATGAACCCTTCATCATTGTTCTTCTTCTCAAGAACATCATCGTTAGCACAAACTTCAGATAGAAGAAGTGAAGTAATCGGATTTCTCCACTTACTATAACTCGAAGCCTATTCTGTTGACCTCGATCTTGATTGGTTGTTATTGGCTTTAACCTTGTCGTTGTTTGCACCTCTATTTTGATTGTTTCCACTCTGTGATCTGTTTCGTGATCTAATGTTTGTCTATGATTTTTCTGATCGGTTAATAAATTGGGTCAATGTCGATATGTATGTTGGATAGAGAATTTTTTAGAAGCTTGTCACTCACAGGTCAATCAGCAATCAACAACCACATCGACATTGACTCAATATGTCGACCGATTAGAAAAATCATAAGCGAACACAGTATCAAGAAAAAGATCAAAGGGGGGGACACAATTAAAATATAGAGGCAGACGACGATAGGCTCAAAATCAATAACAACCAATCAAGATCGAGGTGAACTGTACACGCTACCAATTATACATAGTACATGGCGAAATTTGAATACTTCACTTCTTCTAACTGAAGTTTGTGCTGCTGATGATGTCGTTCAGTAGAAGAACAATTAAAGCTCCACAACCAAAACATGGAGCTTATAGCACGCAACTGCACCACAATTGTATTGAACGAGAACACAGGTGGGGCAACCGAATTGTATTTAACGAAAATTACAGAGTTACTCAGTAAAATCGGAAAAACCATATCGTAAATCGTTCATTTGCAAAATATCAGTTCATCATATCGAACTGGACTGTTCCTGTTGCAAAATATCAATCCATTGTCACTATTCATGCGTTTCATACAAATTCCATTGTTTTTTAACTCTTCCTTTCTTGATCTTCCCTCATCTTCGGCTGCCTGACATTACGTTGACACTCATGTCATATACTACTTATAAGTAGCTCGCACCACACAATCATCCATCGGAGCTACAAATTTTCTCCACTATCTCAATTATTTTTCTGGCTATTGTCTTTTTAAGCGAGTTGGATTTCTACGGGATGAGGTCACTAACCTCATGCCAAACACTCTTCTTGTATCCGGGCTTGGGACTGGACAGTAACCCTTGACAGGCTCCAGGTGGAATTCATTTGAGAAATACATATGTTGCGAATTCATTAACACATATCCTATTTAAAATACTATGGTAATTTCTATTGGTGGAATACATTTACTAAAAATCATTAAATCAATTAAGGATTGATCAAGTGATTATTTCAAGATGCCTATAAATTATTCAGCCAACAAGGAAGACTTGAATGAACTAATGTTTTCATGAAGTTTACTATAAGGATTTATAATAGGAAAACTGCACAAAGCAAGCACTCAGTATCCGAACACTATCTTCGAACTCATGGTCAACTAGGGTCATAATCCATGACGTAGATCGGTATTCAAAATTCTCTATAAACTGAAAAGTACCTCTCTAAAAAGGGTTTGGAATTCATGCACAACTGAGGCAATAGCGATTCACCATTTCAAACCTGACCTCTGTGTACACAGAAGAGTCATTGTGGTGGTGGTGTTTGGTTCTCTGAGCTGGATGCTGTTTTGGTTGTGGAGCTTTCATTGTTCTTCTACTGAACAACATCATCAGCACAAACTTCAGATAGAAGAAGTGAAGCATTCGAATTTCTCCATGTTTGACCTGTAGCTTGTTCTGTTAACCTCGATCTTGATTGGTTTTTAATGACCTTAAACTTGTCGTTGTTAGCACCTCTATTTTGATTGTATCCACTCTTTGATCTGTTTCTTGATCCTATGTCACCTATGATTTTCCTGATTGGTTGATAAGTTGGGTCAATGTCAACATTGATGTGGAATTTGTGCATAACTGAAGCAATAGCTATTCACCATTTCAAACCTTGACCTCTGTGTACACAAAAGACTCATATTCAATCCCTTACATCAATTTGAATTCTAACCGTCTTCTTTTCATCTAGTTTGTAGAGGAATTCATCTTCTAACTCATTTTTATCGATTATTTTAAAAATTAGTCACACTGAAATAATCCCGTTCTAATCATTAACGATTAATACAGTTATGTTCAATACTTGAAACCTTTTGATAATCTTGACTAATCTTGACCACATCATTTTCAGTGGGGTTTTTTTTTCTGACTTGATATAAGCCTTTGACTCTCTTGGATAATTTTATAGAACCTCTTTAATTTTACTGTAGATTACCGTGTGAAAGATTACTCATAAATACGATTGTACAACTTTCGGAAGTGTTTTTCGCTATTGTTAATGTTGAAACTCAAGTTTTCATAAAGACGATTTCGTCGAGAATATTCCCTGTCGAATAGTTTTAGTGGACACTGGAAAATACCACACGAAAGAACATACATTTTAGATTCTTAGTTTTTCAATATTTATGTATATAAATAAATGTCGTTTCGCCGATTATCGCCTAGTTAAGACAGCAGATCATAGGTATATGAACCTCCCTATATGACAGTAACAAACAGTATTTATTATTCACTAAAACAGATTCCTGGATAAAAATTTCGACTGATTAGTCTGTTGCGGTGTTTCGTTCTCCAGCTCAGAGAACAAAACTCCACCACTACAATCATCCACCTGAGATACAAATTTTCTTCATCATCTCACTAATTAATCGCTTTACGAATTCAGTTTGATTAAAGACGATGATTGTTTGTTCATGCTTAAGTTCCCTTTTCTTCACTATTCTACCACCAGTTAAAGGAACATTAATCAAAGTGAAAATTGATGGTTTAAAACCGGATGGATCATTTACAACTCAACTGGGTGAAAATTCAAGTATCACATGTACAGCTCTTGGTAAGTTCAATCATTAGGGAAAAATATCATTGATAATTCTGTGTTGACTATTCATTCTTTCCACATTTCCTTAAAAAGAATTTAAATTATGAGGTTGTGGATATTGTTGAGAAAGTTTCTTCGATTTCTAGTGAGAAGTTGTGACCAGTGGAGTTCAACCCCAGTTCCGGTGTGAAGCTGTGCCCAGGTTGCGCGAAACTTTGGGTTGATCGAAGATTAACATTAACACCGTTAGATACTGGGTCAGTGCTCCAGAGTTTAGGCGTTCGTGCTCCAGACCGAAGATCCTGATGTTTGGATGCTGCAAGTTTTAGGAGGCATGGATGCACTCTGCCACTGATGAGTCCCATATTAGGACGAAATGGCTATGTCCAGTGCTTCTAGGTATCAAATGGGCTTACTGAAGAATTTAACTGTTTAAAAATTCTTAATTTTGATCTCTTTATCTTTTCCAGGATTTGTTCTTGCCATTTCGTGTTTTTCTAATCTGTTTGTTTTTAGGTTAACGTAAATAATTCAGATTTGTAGCTAAGATAATCAACTTATAGCTAGAACTTTAACGATTTAATTGTTAATCAGCATGAAAATTCCAGTCCGGTTATGACTGGTTTTATCGTTGATTAAAACAATCGCCCTCTCAATTTGTTTAATGATAACATCTCTGACTGTATGACAAAAGTTAGGATTATGTGGGGAGCATCATTTCATTCCAGAGTTCAAATACTCCTTATTCATGTATACTAGCAAAATCTAGATGATCAGTTTTGGTGTAGATTTCTTTTCACCGCCTAACATGAAATATATTTATTACATTAGGATATTACAATCATGTCTGTTTAATTTACAACTTAAGTACATGGATAAAAATGCCCAATTCAACCTTATAAAGTAGGGTGCTCACTTCCACATAACAGTGGGAACCAATCACCAGTCAGGTCATCAGAACATTCTTCCCTATTACTTGTACAATACAGTCAAAAAGTTTACTTAAACCTATCTCAGACACAGATACTACTTAGGGTAGTAGTATAAACTCAACAGACAAAAAGCATCCATCTGAGTTATAAACCTTCTCCATCGTCCATAGAATAGAATTCTCCCATTTTCTACCAACACTGAACACAACATTTTTCATTTCTTTTGCTATTCCTAGATTCAAACACTGACGAACCAATTCAAGATGTAATTATTGGCTGGGATATACGACGGTCAAATGGAGCAATTGTGAACTTGGGCATATTGGCTGATCAAGTTACGCAAGAGTCTAATAAACTTGAATTCTACTCAATGAAACCATTGAATTCATTTGCTGATGATATACAAGGACGGTGTTTAGTTTATCGAGGCAATCAGATTTATCGATCGGATTATTTTAAAATTAAAGTGTCCACTTTACCTAAAGAGGTGGATGTTGAAGGTAAGAATTATTGAAGTTAAGCTTATTTTTTTAGTGTATATGAGTGGTCTAAGGTTTGATTTCCGAGTTCTGGGTCATAAGTGCGTATATAAGAGAGATCTCTTGTCTGGTGAGCAAATCAGTATTCGATTCGAAAATATTTATGATGAAAATGATTTACATTCAGTGTGGGATTACTATTGATCTTGATGGCCAGGTGTCTGATGAAATCTCAGCACGGATACATAAGGCTTGACTGACCTCTGACAACTTACTTCACTTATGGCGACGGGGCGAGATATCTATCTCCTAACGAAAGGATAAGTCTACTGAGCATCAGTTCAGTTTGTCCTGCGAGACAAGTGTGGAACATTCGAAGGCTACTAGTACACGACCATAGTTGTCTTCATATATCTTGGGGCCGTCGAGTAAGTAATGCTTTGGTCGGCAAAAGAGTAAGAGGTAAGGATGGTAGATAAGTTAATGAAGTAAGGAATCTTGATCAGTTAATGTGTTTGGGACATATGTTACAAATGCCTAACCAGTCGACCATTATTTCGACGATTTAGGAGTAGGTTGGAAGAAAGTTAGGTGAGGCCAAACCGAAATATGGCACCAATCCATGAAGTTTCTGAAAATTAGACTAAACCATGTTAGTAGGTGTGGACTATCTAATTGGAGTCTGTAAGACGATAGTAATCGATGGTGAGGAGAGACTTTTAACGGCATTCCTCAAAATCGTTTGCAATGACACAAGTGTATCCATTCTTTGTGTTCTCTCTCTTCTGAAATCCACATAGCCGGTTGTTTCCCCTTTTAAATTTATTTTGCTGGACTCTACTTCATGAACGATATCATTGAACCATGATCTTGTCCGTTACTGCTGTAGTGAAGGTGAACACAAGTGAAGGCAACCGAACAAATTACAGAGTTACTCAGTAAAATAAGAAAACCATATCGTAACCGTTAATTTGCAAATCTTCAATCCATCATCAATCCATTGTCTGACATTTCACTATTCATGCGTTTCATACACATTCCGTTGTGTTCCCACTCTTCCTTTCTTGATCTTCCCCCATCTTCTGCTGCCAGACATTACGTGTTCACTCACGTCATATACTACTTATAAGTAGCGCGCACCACACTGCTACTACTGTTACTGTTTCAACCCCTGTGGGATTCGAATTCACGATTCCATCTCTCAGTACTAATATGATGTAGCAACTCGGACAGATGTACATTTGTACATATAAAGTTCTGCGTTTTAACTGACTAACTGACTAGCTAGCTCGCTTACGTTCATTGTTAACTTCGTTCACATATAAGTAATATTCCCAGCAATTATTATAATATATATTCTTATATTTTAATATAAGATTTCAGAAGTTCTTTCGTAAAAATCAACTTCTATATTGTCAGTATAAGCCTTTAGTGTTCACTTATGAAGTTGAGTAATCCTGTTAGAATATTCATCCAATATCCTAAGAGAATGATTGGTCAAATCCTATTGGTCGATTTCTATTGGTCAAAATTATGGTCGTTTTAACTGTCAATGCCACAGAATTCGATGCTGTTTCCTATTCGACCAAAATGTATAAATACGCATTATCTGTAACATTTTATGACCACGACCAGGACCAGGACCCGGTCCCGGATCCCTAGTCCGGGATCCTGATTCTCTTCTGGATTCGGACCTCGTACCTTCTGGATGCTTGTAGAATACAGGTTCTACTTCATATCACGTCTTCTTATTTTTACTAAATATGAGGGTTGGGATAATCGGATTTGAGTAGCATGTCGTGTCGCCGGATCCTCGATCCTCGCTCTCATTTTTCCGACTAGGTAAACTCGTAATAATAGTTCAAGTATATCAAGTTGACGTGTTTAAGTGCAGGCGTAACAAATCCGTCTGTGAATAAAACAACTTTTTCCCAGTATTTTTCACATCGCTTCATATGTAAATTGATTTTTATTTTTTCAACGAAAAAATTTATTTTACCAAAAGGTGATGGTCGTATACTGGTACGTTTAGTCGACATTTCACCGACAGATCGGAAAATCATATTAAAATCTGGTCAGTTGGAAAAGATTCGTTGTATCGGCATTGGTAAGTGTAACGATGACAATGTGTTGTATGCTGATGTTGTTGTATTGGTTTTGCAAAGCTAATGTTATATCATTTTTATCTTTGAATTTAGCTTACCTACTTACTTACGCCCGTTACCCCCAATGGAGAATAGGCCGCTCACCAGTTTTCCCCGACCAACTCTGTCCTGGGCTTACTTCTCCAGTTCTGCCCAATGTTTGTTCATTCTTCTCATATCTTTCTCTATTTCTCGGCGTAGTGTGTTGTTTGGCCTTCCTCTTTTCCTTTTGCCTTGAGAGTTCCATGTGAGGGCTTGTCTCGTGACGCGGTTTTGAATTTAACACTCTCCTTTAAATATATATATATATATGTTGAATTTTGGCATATTTATAGTTAGATTAATCCACAACAGATTGCCTACACCTGAACAGATCGTAGCTCCACAGATCACGTCTTTTACATCAGCTGATGTTTGTTTCCTCTCAACCAGATGAAAACAGATTTGTACACGACTTCTGTGAAGAAGTAGACTGACTATATATGAAACATTAGGTAACAAAAATGTATCGGGAGCGGGAAGGTGATTTTTCCCGCCTTTAATATAATATCACGGGTATATTTTAGTTAACAATGTACTTACTAAAACTGTTGAGGATGTTAGATGACCAGAACTCGCTTGATAAATGCCTTAGTTTTGGATTTCATGTTTGCGAGCATGGGCTGATCAGTTGACCTTGAGATCATACATTTCCCACTAGGAAAATCCATGGCTGTGATTGGCTGCTATGTATTTTAGTGTACTATTTTCGTAACTGTCCCAAGGACATTTCTATGATGTATAAATAAACGAGAGTTGTATGCTTGATTGTATTGTGTGATTGCTGGGTGTTTGTAGAATATACTTTCTACGCTTATCAAGACTTCTGTTTTGCAGTTTGGGATTCAAAGTAGCCTACCTGGACACCGGGTCATTGTCTCGTTCGCGTTTCTCGTAATAGCTTCAAGCGTACTTAGTGACGAACATAACAAAAATCGTAGAAAATACTTTTAAACTTGCTGTACATTGTACAAAAAATAAAGTTTTCCAGTTAAAATACATTCGGATTTAAATAAAATTTGGTAATTTTACCAACAATAAAATTACAGCTGTTTATATATATTTAAAAGTGGATACCTACCTCCGTAACTAAGGTCTCATATGGTCGAGAAATGAAAACCTCGCTATTGCGAAAAAATCATGACACAAAGGATAGTATAAGAGTATGTTTGAGCCTATTCGCATCAAGTTGGGCTACATATCTTGCTATCCTGTATACCATCTACTATACTGCTATGTAGAGCTGAAAGTTTCCTATAAGACTAGAGGTTCGTTGTGATGTACAGTGTGGATAGATTGGCATTAATACTTTGGGCAAGTTTTATTAATAGTCCATATACAAATTTGGTTAGCAGGGTGGCCGATTTCATTGATGCTGGTGGTTGTCTTGCAACATTCTCGAGGACCATTGTCACTGGAGTGCTGTATTGCATATCAAAATTGCTAATAATAATCATGAGTTTGACAGTCATGTAGGTGGGATGAGTCGAATCGGCCTGTTCTCATGCTGTGCATATCGATTAATGCGATCATGGATCGGAAATAATCACTAAATATATATGTACAGTGTGTGTTCCATCAGGATGTCAGGTACTGTGTGGTTGCACCATAGGATTGTGCTGTACTATTCACATTGTAGTGTTCACACGTGAACAATGTCTTTGGTTCTTCTGAAGAAAACCCATCTAAAATTACTCATGCCAACTTGAGGCTCAATTCATTTGATTGTGAGAAACTATCATTTTAAAAATTATTGACACCAATTAAGAAGACTGAGGCAGGCGAGGAAGATTGAATTATGTGAATTCACACTCTGAGTCAATTAAAAACGAAAACATTACATTGATTGAACACTCTTCTATTTGCACACCATCTTTGACTCGTGACTTCCAACTCTCCATCCTTCTTCCTTTACTTCCTGTTGGTACCCCTTTTACTTCTTGCTTTTGCTCCATTTGTTTTCCGTTTTCCTCTTCTGACCGTGCAAATTCTTCTTCTTTCACGTCCCTTCTTATACTACTTATATCGTTTGTATAAGTAGCACACACCACAGCATGATACCCAATACACACACACATTTGCTTTCTGCATTCTTAATCTGCATTTACCTAGATGCTCGAACTGGTGAACAAGTTGACAATTTAAATTATGGATGGGATTATTATTATCATTATCAATCAGAAACATCAGCAGCACCGATTTACGGTTCACTTGGTCCATTGATCACTGAATCGGAAGAATTGCCAGGCGGTTATTTATCGATATTGCCGAATAACGCCGATCGCAGTCAAAACATTGAAGCTTATGTAAAATGTCGTCTATCGAATGGTACATCAGTCTATTCATCTCCGTATTATCGATTATTGGTCTCTGAGTCGGATGACGATGAGGCAGCTGAAGTCATACCAGGTGAGTGTAAATTACAGGATGTTACAAAAAAATCCTCATTTTTTTATTGTTATGATATGAATTTTTGAATTTTTTTACCTTGAAATCATGAATTGTGGTGCGAGCTACTTATAAGTAGTATATGACGTGAGTAAAAACGTAATGTCTGGCAGCAGAATATGGGGGAAGATCAAGAAAGGAAGAGTTCGGAACACAATGGAATTTGTATGAAACGCATGAATAGTGACAATGGATTGATGTTTTGCAACAGGAACAGTCCAGTTCGATATGATGAACTGATATTTTGCAAATGAACGATTTACGATATTGTTTTCCGATTTTACTGAGTAACTCTGTAATTTTCGTTAAATACAATTCGGTTGCCCCACCTGTGTTCTCCTTCACTACAGAATGAGTCATGGTGAGACTACCAATAGGAAATCTTGGACAACAACTGAAAGATGGCCACTTCGTCCTGATATGGGACGCATCAGTGGCAGTGCTCATCCGTGACTCCTACTACTCGCAGGATTTGAACCACAGGACATTCGGTTTTGATGAGCGAACGTTTCACCTCTGAATTAACTGATCTGGCATGGAATGTAATCGGTTGTTTGAAATTTTCGATTGATAATTGTCCATGAAATCATTTTTATTTTATTTGGATTTCATCAGCTACTTAGTGACTTGTAATATTTGAAAAGTCATAATTACAAATTCAGTTTAACTTAAACCTGGATACACTAGACGGAAGTTTCGTCTTAATAGACGACACATCAGCGATGCACATCTATGACCCCCGGGTGACAGGTCTCACACGTAAACAGCTAACCGTTTAAATGGACGAGCTGGCATCGATTCATGACTTCAAAATGTAATCGAACATTTTTACAATACTTTGGGAACATAGAATTATACAATTTATAAAAAGATGTGAGTGAACACATTGTGCTGGTGTTTCGTTCTTTGAGTTAGGTGTTTTGTTTGTGAAGCTTTGATCGTTCTTCTTCTGAACAACATCATCAGCACAAACTTCAGATAGAAGAACTAAATTATTCGAATTTCTCCATGTTCTATCAACCTCGATCTTGATTGGTTGCTGTTGACTGTAAACCTGTCGTTGTTTGCACCTCTGTTTTGGTTGTAAGCCCCCTTTTGATCTGTTTCTTGATCCTATGTCACCTATGATTTTTCTGATTGATTGATAAATTGGGTCAATTTCGATGTGTTTGTTGATCACTGATTGACCTGATTGCCAAGCTTCTAAAAATTCTCTAGTGTTCTTTCTCTTCACCCTACCCAGTGTTTCCACATTGTCCCAATCAAATGTGTGTCCATAATTGTCGGTATGTATTGGCGTTGCCTTTGACTGCTAATTGATGTTCACGTAAACGGAGCTGAATAGGCCGTCCACTTTGTCCTATGTAGTGCTTTTTACAGTTTGAGCAGAACAAGCTACAGGTCAAACGTGGAGAAATTCGAATACTTCACTTCTTCTATCTGAAGTTTGTGCTGATGATGTTGTTCAGGAGAAGAACAATGAAAGCTCCACAACCAAAACAGCATCCAGCTCAGAGAACCAAACACCACCACCACCACAATCATCCACATCTGAGCTACAAATCTTCTCCACCATCTCAAAATCATATGAGTTGATCCTATGTCACCTATGATTTTTCTGATTGGTCGATAAATTGGATCAATAACGATGTGTTTTCTTAATTGCTGATTGACCTGAGTGAACACATGTTATTTAGAAATCATAAACTAATTCTATCTTGAAATCATGAGTGAATCATAGTTAGACCACCATTAGAATCCTGAAAGTTTTGTACAGTCGTTTCATCCTGGTATGGTGCTCATCAGCAGTGAGCATCCACGACCCCTGAAACTCGCACGATTCGAAGGAAGAACCTTCAGTGTTACTAGTGAACGCTTAACCTTCGGATCACTGAACCGGTGGCATCTAACAGTGTAAAATGTCTTCTTACTTTGACCAATCAAAGAACTTTGCTCAACCTCACACATTCACGATTTCACGGTAAAAACGATCTCCATAAATACTAAAAATGCATATTTCCTTTTATTTTTTACAATGAAAAACAAACATTTCTAATTGATAAATTATATAAATTTCTATTTTGTGTGTACTACACTTTTTTAGTGACGATTCCTAAATATTTAATTACTGTGCATGGACTAGACAAAGATGATCAACTTTATATTAAACAAGGCGAACAAGTATCACTTGAATGTTCTGCTATCGGTAGGTTATGTATTTATTATACAATAAATTTACTGAATATTGATTATCAACTTCATTAATTTTCTTGGGCAGAGTTTTGGAGGTTTGTGTTTTTTTTTTACACATTTGAAATCATCAATCAATCATTGTTAGACCACTACCATTATAAGAAACCTGGAGGCACTGAAAGACGGCCGTTTTGTCCTGGTATGGGACTCATCGCATCAGCAGTGCGCATCCACGACTGCTGCACCTCACAGGATTCGAACCCGTAATCTTCGGTGTTGTGCGCGAACGCCTAACCATCCGACCACTGGGCCGTCTAACTCTGACTGATCTACGGATTTTGCGCTACCTCACCTATTTGTCTTTGGTAGTTACTGCCTTTACCCGAAAGGGTTGAACTCCATTGGTCACGTCTTCTCAACTAGAACTCCGAGAATTTCCTCACGAAGCTAGTCAGTCATTAGTGAGCACTGTTACGATATTTTGGGGCAGAGTATTTTGGAGGTTTATATTTTTACACATTTGAAATCATTAATCAATCCTTGTTAGACCATCATTCATTTTCATTGTTCAATATTTAACTTAGGTAGAAAAAAAGTATTTCAACGAACTACTTCATGTTAGAATCACTATGAAATATGGTATACCTTTGCCAAATATTATGGTGTACAGTAGATGAAACTTAGTTTCCTAATTTAAATTATATAGGCGTGATATTGATACTCGTACTTTCAGGTTGTTGCATTTTGAAACTTTACTGTCCTGCATTCAATTAATCAGCTAGCTACAACGTAGAAATTCATATATACGTACATCAGTTCAAGTTGTCATACCACATTAGCACAGAGATACTATTGTCAATTCAAATACCATAGTAGTAGTAGAGGTAATAGAAGTATGATCAGTAATCAGAAAGATTATGATTTGAAGATAGTGTTCAAGGAGTATAATAGCCAGTGAAATACATTTGAAAAGAGAAAGATAAAGGTGATGAGGAATTCAGAAAATTAGAGTTTGAGAGAAAACAAAGAATGGATGCACCTGTGTCAGTGCAAAACGGTTTTGAGCCATGTCATTCAAGTTCTATGACCATTTAGTAGTGTATTGTTGTCAGCATAGTGTATTTAAAAACGTGTATTATTTCTTATTACGCATGATCTCTGTGGTTGAATTGCATTATTAAATAATACGTATCCTGTGATCA